TACCTAACTGTGACTATGTACCAGGGCAGGGCAGCTCCAATCATAAGTGGTACAATGTAAGTACACACAATATAAGCTGATGCATACAGTGCAAGTATACACAGAGCGTAAATACACATAATATAGGGCAACGCGCTTACATACAGTGTAAGTACACACAGTATAAGCCAACATAGGTACATACAATGTAAGTACATACAGTACAAGCCAGCGTAGGTACATATAATGTGAGTACATACAATATAGGTCAATATAGGTACACACAATATAGGTACATACAGTACAAGCCAGGACTGGAGATAACTCTCTGAAAGATGAATTCTTGAGCCCTATACCCTTTGAGAAGATGGAATCTATAGAACTACTGCAGTCATGTGAGAAGGGTGTAAGACACTCCCTCTAGAACTCCAAGAAAATGGAAAAAAGGCACTACCAAAGCTGGTAATGAGAAGGAAGATGGATGAGAACATCTTGTCCCAGTCAGACATTCTTGTCTGAAAGAGTAAAAATGTAAAGATGCCCGAATAAGGGATATCCGGAAAGGAATGTGAGTAGAACACGGCCTATATGGCACAGAAGAGTGCCGATAAAGCATCGAGACGTAGCAAAGGCCTACGACTTGGAAGACACTGGACACAGACTACATAACACAGACACGGACACCATAACATAGACACAGATGACATAACCCAGACACAAGTTGCAACTGCTTGGCACTTTCCCCTTAGGGACCCGAGAGTCCTAGCGCAAGATGAGCCAGAGGCCGATGAGGCCAAGGGAAAGGAAGCCCTACGACGACAGCACATGATGATGAAATGTAGCTCATTAAAGGAAGTTAGGGCCAAAGCAGTTAGGAGGATGCTCGAGAGGCTCAGCAAGCCTAGAGAAGGAAGCAGACGGCCGGGTGACCGTGGCTATAGCTCCGGACCCGAAGGCGAGCTCCTTGGGGGAAAGAGCCGTGACAATGTCGAGTCGAGGAAGGCTGATGGCGCAAAGTTCACAAGAATGTGGAGATGGGTCGGAACTGTCCTGCCTGGCAAAGGCTCTTGTGAGGCTGAGGAAAAACCCTCTCCCTTTACTTCCAGAGAGCCCGTCCCACTACAGACCTCTCCGCTAAGCCTGACATCAGATTGCCTCCTGTGAGAGTAAAGGCTTTTCCCCTTTTCCCAACCACTGGCCCCGACACTTAGCTTTTGGAAGACGAGCGGACAAAAGCCATCGTTGGTTGGACGCGGACGTTGAGATGTTCTCAATGTGTGTGCTTCGGTGCTGCTGCTTCCAAGCTGTGGCTACAAGCCTCCCCAGGGTACCTAAGGCAAAACAGAAAATGTGACTATTGCCCTCAAAAAGAGTAATCCCCGGGAGTCCTCCGCACCCCTGCCCCAGCTCACCTCAAGTCTTGATTTGACTCCGGAGGCCGCCCAGAAGGTACCTGCAAAAAGAAAAGGGACACGCTTAGCATGCTGCTGCTTAACGCTTGCCTATGGGTCAGCCTGCCTAAACACCGACTCACCTGCCCTCCTCTGTTCCTTGGCATACCTAGGGCAGGGACAGCACCTGCAAAGAAACAAAGCAGAAAAACATGCTGAGATACTGTGAAAACGCAACTCCCAACCCTTACAAGTATGCCACACCAATACCTTAAGCTTGCACCCACCTGGCATGGGCATGCTGGGCTAGGATAGATGGCAAGCGGACCATCTAAAATAAAAAGAATACTACATACTTAGAGCTGCACCAAAAACTGAGACCTCAGCAATAACAACTGCTTCGGTACCCTACTCAATGCTCACCTTGCCCACTCAGCCTTGACAGCTGCTCTCTGCCTTGACTTCCTAAAAATAAAGGTTTTGATAAAGCCCCAACAATACCCTAAAAAGTCCCAGAAAAGTCCCTTCCAAAATCCCCTAAATACCTTTAAAAGTCCTGGAAAAAAAACTCAAAAAGACGTGCTCAGTCTCCAAACTCTACCTGTTGCTCTCTAGCCCACAGTGGGTCTGTTGTTCTCTGAGGGTTCTGTCATTGTCCTGGTGTGTGAGGGTTGCTGTCTGGTCTGGCTGTTAGGGTTGCTGTGTTGTGCTGCTGTTGGGAGAAAAGGCTGTTTTTAGGGGAGCTGGTTAGGCTGAGGTTAGGGCTGGGGTGAGGGGTGGTACAGCTGTATCCAGTAACCCTGATCTCCACTGGACTGTCCAGCCCTCAAGGCCTCTCCCTTTACCCCTCAACAGGTCCCTCTGCCTCCCAGCCTTCAGTTCCTTTGTGTCACCCTTAACCCCTCTCCTTTGCCCCTCAGCCCCCAGCTTCTCTGTGTCATCCTACAGCTGCCCCTGCCACCCTCGGCATCTCTGTGTGTCACCCACTGTCCCCTCTCCCTGTTCCTCCCTCAGCACCCAGCCTCTGTCACCTTCAAGCCCCCACAGTGCCTCTCAGCCTCTGTCATGCCTTGAAAGGACCCTAAAAAAAACCCATCAATTCCCTTAAAAAGCCCTAGTTTTCCAAGTGTCCTAAACACCTCACAAAAATTTAAAAAGAGCCTCAGAATACACTAAAAATACCCTACTTTTAAAAAGCCCCTAAAACACCCCTAAAAATATTAAAAAAAAAAAAAATCTCTAAATGGTCCTAAAAGAGCTCTGAGAATGCCCCTAAAATGTTTAAAATTCCCTGATAAGACCCTAAAAAAGCCTAAAATTTCCCTCAAAAACCCTAGAAATACCCTAGTCCTAAAAAAGTTCTCCATAGACCATCCATACTCCTCAAAAAGCCCTAAAACTTTTTAAGTAGTCCTTAAAAAGCCCTCAAAATATTTGAAAACACCCCTAACAATTCCAATTAATAGTAAGACAGCCATTAAAACACCCTAAAAACTTATTTTAAAAGCTCTGAAAAAGCCCGAATGGTATCCTTAACATTTCCAGAGAATTCCAAAAAACTCCTGCAGAAAAAAAACCCCTAAAATATCCTTAAAAATCCCTGAAAAATCACCTAAATAAACCCCTAAAAAACTGTTCAACCCCTACCTGTAACACTGTGGCCTCCAAACATCATCTCTACCTATTAATTGGAATAACTGCCTGCACCTGTTGAGAGGGTTCTGGGGCTGTCCCACCATGAGGGATGACCCTATACCCTAACCCTACCTGGTACCCTGTGTCCTTTGCACCCCTAACCCTCAGTGTCAGCTCTCCACCTGTCAAGCCTCCCTCCCAGTCCCTGCCCGTCAGCCTGCAATGTCTGTGTGTCTCCCAAAGATCCTGTTTGAGCACCCACATGCTGCTGCAGGGAGTCGCCGGTGGGGGAAGTTTGGGACGGGGCAGACCCGGGATGGGGAGGGTGAAGGGAGGAGTGAATTTTTTATTATCATTCCATCCCTTTCCTTGCTAGCCTTCTGATGAAATCCTTTCTCCTATTCTTTTAGTATAGTTTTAATACGTAATTTTCTTTTAATACAATAAATCATTCTATACATTTATATGCATTATATTAATACATAATATATAATTTTTATATATATGATTAAATATATATTGTATATATTTAGTATATATTATACAGTATATTTATTTAGTATTATATATATTTAGTATATATTATATACTTATATATATAATATATATAAGTATATATAAAGTACAAATAATTAAATATATTTCTATATATTTAGTATAAAATTTATTTATAATATAATAAATCAGCCTTCTGAAACGTGGAGTCAAGATTCTCATCTCTTCCCTCCTCCTGGGACACCCCTGCGAATACCGCCACATCCCTGCGACACCCCGTGTCCATCCCCATCCGCATGCGGGAGTTTCCCACCATGCCCAGCGGCCGGACTACATCTCCCAGCGGCC